CGGAAGGCTCTCTCCCTCTCCCTCTCCCTCTCTCTCTCTCTCTCTCTCTCTCTCTCTCTCTCTCTCTCTCTCTCCCTCATCTCTCCTCTCTCTCTCTCTCTCTCTCTCTTTCTCTCTCTCTCTCAGGCCTGGTGTTAACATTATTCATATTCACTGCATTAAAACGTCAGGCCCTTAATGACTCACTATGCCTCCTCTACTCTTTTCTCCTCTCCTCTCTTCTCTTCTTGCTGAGTTAAGCTCTCTATGGTGAGTTTTTAGGCTACATGCCTCTCCTCTCCTCCTTTCCTCCTCCTCTCATGTCCTCCTCCCCTCCTCTATTCTCCTGAGCTCTGGACCCAGCAGCAACAGAACAGAACCTGACAGATTCTTCCTCGTAAAGAGAAATTGTGCGTGATGTGTTTGTGCTTGGCCATAAATTTAAATAGGGACATTGACATCTAAATGCAACAGAGTCTCTCTTTAGATCAAGATTTTACAGTATCCTGCCCTAACAAGGAACAACGATACTTGATTGTATCCTTCAGTGGAAGAGTTTGATAAAAGTGCAAAATAGACACTCTTGCTGAGTCAGCAAGAACATGCAGGTTTTGAAGGAGGAACATTTGGAGAGTTAAAAACACTTAAAAACCTATTTCCTGCACCAGACCTTCATCACCATCACATTAGTCTCAACAAACTTCCCACTCACTGTAATGCAATTAAATGGTGATTTGATCCACAGGGGAGTAGAGAATGGATACATTATTTAATACAGTATCCTCCCACTGGGCACACACTGGTTGATTCGACGTTGTTTGTGATGTGGAATCAATGTAGCAAATACTTTGGATTTGAAAAAAGTCATCAACCAGTACTGTTTTTATCTCATTTCAACCAGCGTTGTAAAAATTGAAATTAGGGTAAAACTTAAACTTAAATACATTGACTTAACCTGACTAACAATCTAATTTCAAGATATTCATCAGAACTATGTATACGTTGAAATTGCATTGAAAATTCCACATAGAAACGTAAAAAATATATTCGGCATGTAGACAACTTGAATAGTTTAATGTAATTCCTCGAACTTTTCTTATTCAAGCTGTATGTGAAAGTAAATTCGGAGTGAGTTTGGGTTTATGTAGGCTAAATTGACATCTAATTTGCTCAACAAAGGACACTGTCATTTCAACGTGTAGCTAGGATACTATCATTCATCCATGGTTGATTGGATCTTTGGAAGTTTAGAAGTAGTTATCATTAGCCCTACAAAAGGATGCCAAATTCATGATATTAATAATACACATTTACCTTTGGATATTGTTTTGTATATGAAGGATGTTTGGTTGATTTCTAATTTAATCTACAAGTTAGTAATATGTTGGATTCACATCTCCATCTAAACCAAAAATCAAAGTTGAAAAATAGGACTAAATCAAATTTAACTTTATTCAAAGTGCATTAAAAGTTTGATTTAGTGCTGTTCTTTAACATAAATGTTTGGTTGAGATGGAGATGGGAATCCAACATATCAATCATTAATTTGTAGACATACTGGATATTGAATTGTGAACGCAACCAAATATCAACATTTGAAGGAGATTTGAGATCTGTTGACTGAGACGGCCGTGGCATATGGTTTACATAGTTTTCATGCTCATTAAATCATTCAGTGACCACTCGTGCCCTGTGGATGGGGGCATTGTCATCCTATGGGGGCATAGCCATGGTAGCCAATATAATGGCCAAAATAATGGCCTGCCCAGCATTTTTATACATGACCCTAAGCCGGCTTGATATGTGGTCCTCTGTAGCTCAGCTGGTAGAGCACAGTGCTTGTAAAGCCAGGGTAGTGGGTTCGATCCCCGGGACCACCCATACACAAAATTGAAAATGTATGCACGCATGACTGTAAGCCGCTTTGGAAAAAAGCGTCTGCTAAATGGCGTATTATATTATTATTATATGTTAATGCTTAAGTAACTCAGGAACCACACCTGTGTGGAAGGACCTGCTTTCAATATACTTTGTATCCCTCATTTACTCAAGTTTTCCCATTATTTTGGCAGTTACCTGTAGCTTAATGTTGAAATGATGGTGTCCTTTGGGCAAATCAGATGTCAATGTAGCCTACATAAACCCAACCTCACTCCGAATGTACTTTCACATTCAGCTTGTGTAAGAAAAGTTAGAGGAGTTACTTTCAACTATTCAATGTTATTTAGGTGGTCTATTCAAATGAGTATGGAAGTTGCTCAATGTCTAAATGTGTTGACGTAATAGCTCACAGGTTCTGATGATTATGTTGAAATTAGATTGATGTAACAACCTGTTAGTCAGGTTAAGTCAATGTATTTAAAATTGACCCTAATTTCAATGTTTACAACGCTGGTTGAAATTAGATGAAAACAGTACTGGTTGATGACTTTTTTCAAATCTAAGGTATTTTCCACATTGATTCCACCACGTCACAATATGTTGCCAAATTATGTTGAAATAACATTGATTCAAGTGTGTGCCCAGTGGGCTGAGTGTGCCAGTCTGTTTGTGCTGTCATGCCAACTCCTTGTCACTCCTTGTCATGCCTAAGATGTATGGCTTGAGAATGAGTAATGCAGTTAGCAAGAAAGCAAACAGATCTGGGACCAGGCTAATAATACAATAGAGATGTATACTAAGAAACACCACTGCTGTTCGAGAGGTATTCAGTTAAGTCAGTTATGTCAGTTAGCTTTAGGATTCTATGTGACTAGCATGCACTTAAAGAACAGCCTGTTTTGAATGAGTAGAAATCCTGGTCAGTTTAGTAAGGGAAATGCCTCAGGAATCCAACACTGTAATTACACTATGAGACCAGAATAAGACAGAGGACTTCTGGTAAAGAAGAATTAGCAGCATATGGCACAACAGCCATACTAGAAATTACATACAGAAAACACCAAACACTATCTTGAGGAATTTCAACAATATATATTTCCACCAAATATAGTATTGGTGGTTTGAAAGGGTGAGAGTAAGTGCCTGCATCCCAAATGGCACCCTATTCCCCATTTACTGCACTACTTTAGAGCAGGGCCAATACGGCTTTTGTCAAAAGTAGGGCACTATATAGGGAATAGGGTGCCATTTGGGACACACACAGCCATGGAACCCAGGGTCTACTGTCAGTCCTCCTACTCCGAGGGACATTCCAAGGTCCCCTGTGGCAAAAAAATAAAATAATTCAGTCAACACCTAAATTACATATTTGTAGAGACACAGCGGGATAGCTGCTGTCATTCAAGACCGTCATATTAAATGTCACATACAGAATAGTGTCAGATGGCTACTATACAAACTGTATTATCAGCAGAGCTTAGAGTAGAGGGGGTAGTTAGTGGTGCACACTCACTGCCTCATCTAGAAGGGGAAACAGGCATCCCTCCCTCCCTTCCTCCACCCCTCCATCCTGCATGGTGGCAACCCTCAGCCCAGTGGTTTGTCCTGTTTGTCCTCCAGTACTGAATCCGATCTGGGTGGCGCACCAACATGCAAAATGTTCTAGCACCACTTCATAGTCACACAGCAGTACAGTTTTCCGTGTAGTGGTGATTCTGAGGCAGGAAGGAGAGGGAGAAGAAACATCTGCACCTTACGTGAGATGGTCCTCTTCCTCTCTCTCCCCCTCTCTCTCTAGCCTCTCTCTCTTTCCCCTCTCTCTCTCCACATCTGGCCCAGGCCTGTCGGCCGGTCGGTTGGAGGGGTGTGGGCATTGATTGGAGCGGCAGACAGCTGCACCACAACCGCTCCCCAGATGTTTCTTGTTGGGCCAGAAGTGTCTGTTTGTTAGGCGTGGGGTCGTGTTTGATGTGTTGGCTCGGCTGCGTTGGCGGCAGTGTTATCGTGACAGGGTCTGAGGGTGTAGAGCTCAGCGGAAGTGGATTAACCTCACAAAGAGGCCTGGGGTGCTGCGGGGTGAAAACAGGCAGGGTAGAGAGGCTTCAGCTGTGAGGAGTAACCTTCTGGAAACCACCCAGCAGTCAAACCTAGACTCAGGTCCAGACCCAGATTCAGACCTGCAGGCCCGAAACTCAAATCCAGACAGAGTCAAGCCTATCCCCATCCCCATCTCCAGCCCCATCCCCCAGCCCCAGCCCCATCCCCAGCCCCAGCCCCAGCCCCATCCCCAGCCCCGGCCACAAACACAGACCTAAAACCAAACCCAAACCCAGACAAAGACCCAGCCTTATTCCTCACTGGAGCTACTGGGGTTGTAGAAGAAGAGATAAAACATCTAGGAAATAAGTTGTAATTAAGAAGTTGTTCTTAACAAATGTTAAATGAATAAAATAAAACTGAAATACCAATTCTACACCCTCATCATCACAGAGGCACTAAAAGATGTCTGAATATCCAGTCTGAATAACATACAGTAAAACATACAAGGATTTTAAGTCACGTGAAGGCGATATTTAAGAGCCAACTTTGCATGGTTTTTGCAAGCTCCGAAAAAATTCCAACTTGAAATATATGGCAGTGGTAATGTATTTAGCAAAATGTTGCTTTGGTCTATTTCATCTGTGAAATATTATTCAAGTCATACATCAGGGCTGAGTATTGTAGCATATTGTAGCATGAAATAGACCCACACCATAAATAATCATTCTCTCTTCCATTCATTCCCCTGTAGACAGGAACGCCACGCTTCCACTGTAATGACACACACACACACACACACACAAACAAACACACGCACACACACACACAAATACAAGCAAGGACACACACAGACACACACAAAGACACACACACAGTTCCACCCCTGACAACATGATGATTCTGCCTAGGCCACTTGTGGCTGGGGATTTGGCCCCAGTGACCACCCGTCTCTCTCCACCAATGCCCAGAAACCAAGGCCTGCTGCCTGCCTGACCAACCAACCAGCCAGCCAACTGACCAATCAACGCAGTCCTCCAACAGGCAGACAGGCAGAGAGAAAGGGCTCTGGCAGGCCCTGCACACCCAGCATTTTGTTTAGCATGAAAGGTATTTTAGGAAGCGGGGCACACTGAGGCCTGTGTGATGGAGGGAACATTAAAAATAAACCTGCTGTTTATGGTCCGGAAAGGGCTTTGCATGGCCCAACCACTCCTGCTTACTCTGTAGTCCAGAGGCTAACACTCCCAGCCCCTTGGAGAGAGGAGAGGAGAAATTGCACTTGTCTCTTCCTACTACGACTAACTTTGCTGATAACTACTTTATTGAGGGAAAATGTACTTGCTAAGATTGTGATATGTTGCTGTCTCAAGATGTCTTAAGATGAATGCACTAATTGTAAGTCGCTCTGGGGAAGAGAGTCTGCTAAATTACTAAAATGTAATTGTAAAGTGAGAGGAGAGGAGAGGAGAAGAGAGGGCTGGGGAGAGGAGAGGGAAGAGGCGAGAGGGGGGAAGAGGAAAGCAGGAAGGAGAGAGGGAAGTGGAGGGTGGAGAGGGCCGAGCACTCCACTACCTGTCTGTTATGAGGCGACACGGCTGATGGTTCTCCATGCGTGAAACAACAACGCCTTCCAGGCCCAGTCACGGCCCCCTGGCCCAGGCTCTTACCATCAGGAAGACATGAGGTTACCACACTAACAAGAAACTTCGCTGCAAGTCTGGCCTGTGTGTTTCGAGATGATTCAAATAAGATGCTAAATAAAATGCAGGAATATGTAGCTGGCTTCTTAGAGATGATCTCCTCGAGAAGCTAGTTTCTTAGAGATTGTCTCTTTGCTAGAGCCATGCTAGCTATGTTTCTAATCTTTACACCTGTAGTTTGTTGTTGTAACCCTGCTCTCCCCTCCTGTATATCTGTTGTAGGTCTGTGGTTAGTGTGGGGTTTCCCAGACACACCACAGGTTGATGCTCACAGCACCTGAGATATGATGAGAGAGGCTGATGGTTGAGTGTGTGATTTCCCGAGAGACGAGCAGCACAGAACAGGGATGATTGCATCCAACAGCACCAAGACGAGAGTAGACTAGATATAGAGAGCGATCCTACGAGATATCTCGCAGACGAGACGATGCAGACCTAGTCGCTTACGACCGATAGAGAGTAGACTGGAAGGACGGAAGGGGTACGAGAGCGATGGAGAAGGAGAGATACCAGATAGAGAGAGAGAGAGAGAGAGAGAAGAAAGAGAGAGAGAGAGAGAGAAATTCCAATTGGCTATACTTAAACTCTTTAACATTATCCTTAGCTCTGGCATCTTCCCCAATATGTGGAACCAAGGACTGAACACCCCAATCCACAAAAGTGGAGACAAATTTGACCCCAATAACTACCGTGGGATATGTGTCAACAGCAACCTTGGGAAAATCCTCTGCATTATCATTAACAGCATACTAGTTCATTTCCTCAGTGAAAACAATGTACTGAGCAAATGTCAAAAAAAAAAAAAAAAAAAAAAAATGGCTTTTTACCAAATTACCTTACAACAGACCTCGTATTCACCCTGCACACTCTAATTGACAAACAAACAAACCAAAAAAAAGGCAAAGTCTTCTCATGCTTTGTTGATTTCAAAAAAGCTTTTGACTCAATTTGGCATGAGGGTCTGCTATAAAAATTGATGGAAAGTGGGGTTGGGGGAAAAACATACGACATTATAAAATCCATGTACACAAACAACAAGTGTGCGGTTAAAATTGACAAAAAACACACACATTTCTTTCCACAGGGCCGTGGGGTGAGACAGGGATGCAGTTTAAGCCCCACCCACTTCAACATATACATACAGTGGGGAGAACAAGTATTTGATACACTGCCGATTTTGCAGGTTTTCCTACTTACAAAGCATGTAAAATGCAAATGAATTACTTAAAAATCATACAATGTGATTTTATGGATTTTTGTTTTAGATTCCGTCTCTCACAGCTGAAGTGTACCTATGATAAAAATTACAGACCTCTACATGCTTTGTAAGTAGGAAAACCTGCAAAATCGGCAGTGTATCAAATACTTGTTCTCCCCACTGTATATCAACGAATTGGCGAGGGCACTAGAACAGTCTGCAACACCCGGCCTCACCTACTAGAATCTGAAGTTAAATGTCTACTGTTTGCTGATGATCTTCTGTCACCAACCAAGGAGGGCCTACAGAAGCACCTAGATCTTCTGCACAGATTCTGTCAGACCTGGGCCCTGACAGTAAATCTCAGTAAGACAAAACTAATTGTGTTCCCAAAAAGGTCCAGTTGCCAGGACCACAAATACAAATTCCATCTAGACACCGTTGCCCTAGAGCACACAAAAAAACGATACATACCTCGGCCTAAACATCAGGGTCACAGGTAACTTCCACAAAGCTGTGAACGATCTGAGAGACAAGGCAAGAAGGGCCTTCTATGCCATCAAAAATAACATAACATTTGACATACCAAATTAGGATCTGGCTAAAAATATTTGAATTAGTTATTGAAACCATTGCCCTTTATGGTTGTGAGGTCGGGGGTCCGCTCACCAACCCAAAAAAATAATAATTAGACCGATACCCGCTAATTATCAAATTCCAGAAAAGAGCCGTTAAATTCTATAACCACTTAAAAGGAAGCGATTCCCAAACCTTCCATAACAAAGCCATCACTTACAGAGAGATGAACTTGGAGAAGAGTCCCCTAAGTAAGCTGGTCCTGGGGCTCTGTTCACAAACACAAACAGACCCCACAGAGCCCCAGGACAACAACAACAACAACACAATTAGACCCAACCAAATCATGAGAAAACAAAAAGAGAATTACTTTACACATTGGAAAGAATTAACAAAAAAACTGAGCAAACTAGATTGCTATTTGGCTCTAAACAGAGAGTACACAGTGGCAGAATACCTGACTACTGTGACTGACCCAAACTAAAGGAAAGCTTTGACTATGTACAGACTCAGTGAGCATAGCCTTGCTATTGAGAAAGGCCGCCATAGGCAGACCTGGCTCTCAAGAGAAGACAGGCTATGTGCACACTGCCCACAAAATGAGGTGGAAACTGAGCTGCACTTCCTAACCTCCTGCCAAATGTATGACCATATTAGAGGCACATATTTCCCTCAGATTACAGAGATCCACAAAGAATTCGAAAACAAACCCAATTTTGATAAACTCCCTTATCTACTGGGTGAAAAACCACAGTGTGCCATCACAGCAGCAAGATGTGTGACCTGTTGCCACAAGAAAAGGGCAACCAGTGAAGAACAAACACCATTGTAAATACAACCCAGTTTATTTATTTTCCCATTTGTACTTGAACTATTTGCACATTGTTACAACACTGTATATATATATATATATATATATATATATATATATATATATAATATGACATTTGAAATGTCTTTATTCTTTTGGAACTTCTGAGTGTAATGTTTACTGTTAATATTTATTGTTAATTTCACTTTTGTTTACTATCTACTTCACTTGCTTTGGTATTGTTAACATACATTTCCCATGCCAATAAAGCCCTTAAATTGAAATTGAATTGAAATTGAATTGAATTGAATTGATCTCTCTCTCTCTCTCTCTCTCTCTCTCTCTCTCTCTCTCTCTCTCTCTCTCTCTGTCGCTCCGAGGCTTGGAGTCCTGGAGGCTTGCTGGGCTTCAACACAGCCTTATCCCATGATGCACTGGGAATACCTCCAGTAATCAGATTAGAGTGGAGGATGCTGAGAAAAGGCTTCAGAGTCAACCAGTTGACACGGGAACAGAGAGAATGGGAGGGAAATTAGACGTGGAGCCTCAGTTCAGAGTAAATAAGAGAAGTCCAGAGGGGAGGGCTATAACATCCACTTCCCCCGACAGGAAATCCTAAGACCAATTTAATCCTTCTATACCTCCTCCCACCAGGAGACTCTCAGCTGTGGAGCTAGACATATCAAACAGCCATATAGAGTTAGAGTGAACCTGAGATACACACCTGGGAGGAGAGAGGGAAGGGTTGGAAAGGGTCTGTCTCTGTATGTCTGTCTGTCTGTTTAGGTTGTGAGGTGGTCCCTGGGTCCAGGGCTGGGAGAAGGGTGGTTTAGGATGAAGAGGTCTATTGTTGAGAGAAGCACTGTGACTCAGCCTCTCCCTTATATTAGACAAGGCCTGGACTAGACCATGTATGTCTACTGCAGCCAGCCAGGTGTTAGTGAGAAGAAGTGAGACTGGCTAACTACAGAGCAATCACGGTCTTTTCTCTTTACAGTACAGCCTGCCAACTGCACTTACAGCTGATGACAGCATTTATGAGAATTCACTGTAGCAACACCAAAACACAACATATTACTGCAAAATTCTGCAGGGCCTGTTCGAAAACGGCAAACCAAGGATGTGTCCCAAATGGCATCCTATTCCCGATATGGCTCTGGTCAGAAGTAGTGTGAGAGAGAGAGGGGGTCAGAGAGAGAGAGAGAGAGAGAGAGGGTCAGAGAGCGGGTCGCAGACAGAGAGAGAGGAAGAGAAAAGAGAGAGAGAGAGAGAGAGAGAGAGAGAGAGAAGAAGAGAGTGGTCAGAGAGCGGTCACAGACAGAAGAGAGCGAGAGAAAGAGAGAGAGAGAGAGAGAGGAGAGAGGAGAGAAGAGAAGAGAGAGAGAGAGAGAGAGAGAGAGATTTACAGCAGGTCAGGTGACCCTGGCCAGCAGCCCTCCTGGACCAGAGCTGTGATGCAGAGGTGACCAGGAGACCCATGGGTCGGCGCACAATTGGCCCAGCGTCGTCCAGGGTAGGGGAGGGAATGGCTGGCAGGGATGTAGCTCAGTTGGTAGAGCATGGCGTTTGCAACGCCAGGGTTGTGGGTTTGATTCCCACGGGGGGCCAGTATGATAAAAATGTATTTAAAAAAATAATAATGTATGCACTCACTAACTGTAAGTCGCTCTGGATAAGAGCGTCTGCTAAATGACTAAAATGTAAATGTAAAATGTCAATGGGCCCTGGTCAAAAGTAGTGCACTAAATAAGGAATAGAGTGCTGTTTGGTCCGCAGCCCATTTCCTCTGCTGGCTGGTGTTCTGGAACAGAAGGCAGAACGCAGGTGTGACGGAAAGCTGAGTGGGGAGCGATTGGAAATGAAATAAAGATGGGTGGGGCTGTACCACCACACTAAAACATACAGTGCTAAGAGTCTGTAAGGGTTCACTATTCTCTGGACCAGAGCTGCTGTCTCTCTTCTACTGTCTCAGTATGCCCTCATGGACCATACTGCTGCAGTCTGTCTGTCCACATTTTCTGTTTTATACAAACCATGGTCTCTCCTCTCTGACTACCTCCCTCTGGACCAGTGCTTCTCTGTCACATTCAAAGCAAGCCCATCACTCCCACTTAAACACTGAGCACAGAGCCAGACAATGACATTACATTTACATTTACATTTAAGTCATTTAGCAGACGCTCTTATCCAGAGCGACTTACAAATTGGTGCATTCACCCTATAGCCAGTGGGTTAACCACTTTACAAAAATGTATTATTATTTTGTTTTATTTTATTTTTGTTTTATTTTTTATTTATTTATTTATTTGACTTACTTTATTCATCCTTTCTTTTCTTTTCTTTCTCAAGATGGAAGGAGTTGGGGTTGGTTGGTGTGATGGAATAAGGAGTTGGGGTTGGTTGGTGTGATGGAATATGGAGTTGGGGTTGGTTGGTGTGATGGAATAAGGAGTTGGGGTTGGTTGGTGTGATGGAATAGGAGTTGGGGTTGGTTGGTGTGATGGAATAAGGAGTTGGGGTTGGTTGGTGTGATGGAATAAGGAGTTGGGGTTGGTTGAGGCCTGTGTGATGGAGAAAGTTGGGGTTGGTTGGTGTGATGGAATAAGGAGTTGGGGTTGGTTGAGGCCTGTGTGATGGAGGGAGTTGGGGTTGGATGGGGCTGTGTGATGGAAGGAGTTGGGGTTGGTTCAGGCTTGTGTGATGGAAGGATTTTGGGTTGGTTGAGGCCAGTGTGATGGAGGGAGTTGGGGTTGGTTGAGGCCTGTGTGATGGAGGGAGTTGGGGTTGGTTGGTGTGATGGAATAAGGAGTTGGGGTTGGATGGGGCATGTGTGATGGAATAGGAGTTGGGGTTGGTTGGTGTGATGCAATAAGGAGTTGGGGTTGGTTGAGGCCTGTGTGATGGAGGAAGTTGGGGTTGGTTGGTGTGATGGAATAAGGAGTTGGGGTTAGTTGAGGCCTGTATGATGGAGGGAGTTGGGGTTGGATGGGGCTGTGTGATGGAAGGAGTTGGGGTTGGTTCAGGCTTGTGTGATGGAAGGATTTTGGGTTGGTTGAGGCCAGTGTGATGGAGGGAGTTGGGGTTGGTTGGTGTGATGGAATAAGGAGTTGGGGTTGGTTCGGGCCTGTGTGATGAAGGGAGTTGGGGTTGGTTGAGGCCTGTGTGATGGAGAGAGTTGGGGTTGGTTGGGGCCTGTGTGATGGAGGGAGTTGGGGTTGGTTGAGGCCTGTGTGATGGAGAGAGTTGGGGTTGGTTGAGGCCTGTGTGATGGAGGGAGTTGGGGTTGGTTGAGGCCTGTGTGATGGAGGGAGTTGGGGTTGGTTGAGGCCTGTGTGATGGAATAAGGAGTTGGGTTTTGTTGGGGCCTGTAGTGTGTTGTGTGTTTTTACAACTTGTGTTTTACAGCTGCTGTTGAACAGCATTGGGTCCACGGTTCCTGCAGTCGGAGTTATTAGATAAGAAACCTAATATAAATCAGAGCAGAGGGGTCTGGCAGGCTGGGGAAAGCAGGGGAGAGGAGAGCCGTGACGCTGGGCGACAAGACTAATTCTTTCAGTGTGTCAGGGTTGCCGGGAGGTTGCTGAGAGGTTGCCGGGAGTATAAAGTGATATCGGGTGTCCAGCCTCTGGTTCTGTCGCCTAACCTCAAGTTTCCTATGTTTTCCCCTCTCTCCTCTTCTTCCACGTTCACTTGGCTTACCTCTCTTCTATCCTCCTCCACGTTCCCTGTTCACCTTTTCTCATTTTCTTCTCCTTCTCTGTTTCTCCCTCTCCTCTCTTCTCCCCCTCTAACTTCAGTATGTTTCTTCCTTCTCCTCTTTCACTCAACTTCCCCCTCTCACAGACATCCCAGAAAGAGGAACAACACTTGCTAGACAAACCATACACTAAAACTATGCATGTGCACTGACAATACTGTATATTGCAACCACCAAGCTGAGAATGGTGTTCATTATAGACAACACTGATCTCTGCTGGCCATTAGCTTGAATGTTAACTGATCGGGTTTATAAGTGGATTTTATTTATTAATTTTTTTGTCATTTAGCAGACGCTATTATCCAGAGCAACATACAGTTAGTGAGTGCATACATTTTTCATACTGGCCCCCCGTGGGAATCGAACACACAACCCTGTCGTTGCAAGCGCCATGCTCTACCAACTGAGCTACAAACCACAAAACAGCTGACTTTATCCACATCTGCATTTTCTGTTTCTCAAATCAACACATTTCAGAATTCAAGTAGAGAAATGCAAATAGAGAAATGGTAGGTTGAATGTCCATATCGTTTTTATCTGAAGTTCAACTTTGCCCTTAATTGGCAAGCCTGTTGTCTGCAGTTGTAGCAATTTGCTTGAAATAATAACTGAGCCAAGCCAACTGGTCTTAGACTGCTGTTTTTTAGACTGCTGCTTTAAATATAATGTCAAACCACAGATGTTCCATTGACCTCAGCAGCAAAACATGATGCTTCAAAAGACAAGGGATGCGTCCCAAATGGCACCCATTTACCAATATAGTACTCTACTTTAGGGTGTCATTGTAGTGCACTTTATAGGGAATAAGGTGACATTTGCAAAGCACACAGGGGCTTCCAAAATGTCTTGTGTGTGGTTTTGTGACTTTGCATCCTGTCTTTAGAAATAAGGACTTCTGGTACTAATCTGTATTTTAGGCACTAAAATTTTAGACACTTGGGTGTCTGAGGTCCTTGATGATCTTCTTGGCCTTCCTGTGACACCGGGTGCTGTTGATGTCCTGGAGGGCAGACAGTGTGCCCCTGGTGATGCGTTGGGCTGGTGTGTTAGATACCACCTACATACACTACCAGTCAAATGTTTGGACACACCTACTCATTCAATGGGGTTTTCTTTATTTGTACTATTTTTTTACTAATAATAGTGAAGACATCAAAACTATGAAATAACACATATGGAATCATGTAGTAACCAAAAAAGTGTTAAAAAAATCTAAATATATTTTATATTTGAGATTCTTCAAATAGCCACCCTTTGCCTTGATGACAGCTTTGCACACTCTTGGCATTCTCTCAACCAGCTTCACCTGGAATGCTTTCAGTCTTAAAGGAGTTCCCACATATGCTGAGCACTTGTTGGCTGCTTTTCCTTCACTCTGCGGTCCGACTCATCCCAAGCCATCTCAATTGAGTTGAGGTCGGGGTATTCTGGAGGCCAGGTCATCTGATACAGCACTCCATCACTCTCCTTCTTGGTAAAATAGCCCTTATACAGCCTGGAGGTGTGTTGGGTCATTGTCCTGTTGAAAAACAAATGATAGTCCCACTAAGCCCAAACCAGATGGGATGGCGTATCGCTGTAGAATGCTGTGGTAGCCATGCTGGTTAAGTGTGCCTTGAATTCTAAATAAATCCCAGACAGTGTCACCAACAAAGCACCCCCAAACCATAACACCTCCTCCTCCATGCTTTACGGTGGAAAATACATGTGCGGAGATCATCCATTCACCCACACTGCTTCTCACAAAGACACGGCGGTTGGAACCAAAAATCTCCAAATTTGGACTCCAGACCAAAGGACAAATTTCCACCAGTCTAATGTCCATTGCTCATGTTTCTTGGCCCAAGCAAGTCTCTTCTTATTGGTGTCCTTTAATAGTGGTTTCTTGCAGCAATTCGACCATGAAGGCCTGATTCACATAGTCTCAAATCAGACCATGAAGGCCTGATTCACATTCACATAGTCCCAAATAAATGTCTGCAATTTCTGAGGCTGATAACTCTAATGAACTTATCCTCTGCAGCAGAGGTAACTCTGGGTCTGCCATTCCTGTGGCTGTCCTCATGTGAGCCAGTTTCATCATAGTGCTTGATGGTTTTTGCGACTGCACTTGAAGAAACGTTCAAAGTTATTGAAATGTTCCGTATTGACTGACCTTTATGTCTTAAAGTAATGATGGACTGTTGTTTCTCTTTGCTTATTTGAGCTGTTCTTGCCATAATATGGACTTGGTATTTTACCAAACAGGGCTATCTTCTGTATACCCCCCCTACCTTGTCACAACACAACTGATTAGCTCAAACGCATTAAGAAGGAAAGAAATTCCACAAATTAACTATGGTAAGGGTGCTGCTTAAACTACTTCTTATGAGTTATGATTCCCTGCTTATTTGCATTCACAAGCAATGCTTTTATTTGACATTTCTGGTCCACATATAGTGCCTTGCAAAAGTATTCATCCCCCTTGGTGTTTTTCCTATTTTGTTGCATTACAATCTGTAATTTAAATTGATTTTTATTTGGATTTAATGTAATGGACATACACAAAATAGTCCAAATGGTGAAGTGAAATGAAAAAAAAATCTACAAAATAAATAACGGAAAAGTGGTGCGTGCATATGTATTCACCCCCTTTGCTATGAAGCCCCTAAATAAGATCTGGTGCAACCAATTACCCTCAGAAGTCACATAATTAGTTAAATAAAGTCCACCTGTGTGCAATCTAAGTGTCACATAATCTGTCACATGATCTCAGTATATATACACCTGTTCTGAAAGGCCCCAAAGTTTGCAACACCACTAAGCAAGGGGCACCATTTTACAATTACATTTTAGTAATTTAGCAGACGCTCTTATCCAGAGCGACTTAGTGAGTGCATACATTTTCATACTGGCTACCCGTGGGAAACGAACCCACAACCAAGCAAGCGGCACCATGAAGACCAAGGAGCTCTCCAAACAGGTCAGGGACAAAGTTGTCGAGAAGTACAGATCAGGGTTGGGTTATAAAACAATATCTGAAACATTGAACATCCCACGGAGCACCGTTAAATCCATTATAAAAAAAATTGAAAGAATATGGCACCACAACAAACCTGCCAAGAGAGGGCTGCCCACCAAAACTCACGGACCAGGCAAGGAGGGAATTAATCAGAGAGGCAACAAAGAGACCAAAGATAACCCTGAAGGAGCTGCAAAGCTCCACAGCGGAGATTGGAGTATCTGTCCATAGGACCACTTTAAGCCGTACTCTCCACAGAGCTGGGCTTTACGGAAGAGTGGCCAGAAAAAAGCCATTGCTTAAAGAAAAAAATAAGCAAACACGTTTGGTGTTCGCCAAAAGGCATGTGGGAGACTCCCCAAACATATGGAAGAAGGTACTCTGGTCAGATGAGACTAAAATTGAGCTTTTTTCAAGGAAAACACTATGTCTGGCGCAAACCCAACACCTCTCATCACCCTGTGATCACCATTCCCACAGTGAAGCATGGTGGTGGCAGCATTGCTCGTGTTTGTAAGTCGCTCTGGATAAGAGCGTCTGCTAAATGATGTAAATGTAAATGTAATGTTTTTCATCGGCAGGGACTGGGAAACTGGTCAGAATTGAAGGAATGATGGATGGCGCTAAATACAGGGAAATTGTTGAGGGAAACCTGGTTCAGTCTTCCAGAGATTTGAGACTGGGACGGAGGTTCACCTTCCAGCAGGACAATGACCCTAAGCATACTGCTAAAGCAACACTCAAGTGGTTTAAATGGAAACATTTAAATGTCTTGGAATGGCCTAGTCAAAGCCAAGACCTCAATCCAATTGAGAATCTGTGGTATGACTTAAAGATTGCTGTACACCAGTGGAACCCATCCAACTTGAAGGAGCTGGAGCAGTTTTGCCTTGAAGAATGGGCAAAAATCCCAGTGGCTAGATGTGCCAAGCTTATAGAGACATACCCCAAGAGACTTGCAGCTGTAATTGCTGCAAAAGTTGAATAGTTATGCATGCTCAAGTGTTCAGTTTCTTTGTCTTATTTCTTGTTTGTTTCACAATAAAAAATATTTTGCATCTTCAAAGTGGTAGGCATGTTGTGTAAATCAAATGATACAAAAAAAACAAAAATCCATTTTAATTCCAAGTTGTAAGGCAACAAAATATAAAAAATGCAAAGGGGGGTGAATACTTTCGCAAGCCACTTTAAAGCATTACTGCATGTAGTGTATATTCAAATGTAGCATATTCTGCAGCTGCATACTAGAAATCGTAGTCTCTGAGGTTAATTGTGATGATGATTCCAGTATGTACAGTATGTCCTGTGTGTGTGTCAAGGTAAGCTTGAACAGGACGGCAGCAGTCCTACGAGGGAAAGAAGCCAGCTGTCACCACCCCCTGTCAGTGTTCCTGTCACAGCAAACCCGCCAGTGTCCCAGACAACAGGCCCAAATCACCAATCACTGTGGTGCTGGACCTCACTGGCTCACCGGAGGTAGTGGTGGCACAGCGCTCATCTTCTCCCACAGACACAGGTCATCTTAGTTGAGAAACAGTAATAGTGAGATATCGATCCACTTAGCCATCCACTATATAGGTCAGTGTTACTGGGGGATGCCCAGGGGGTGCATATTTCCATTCTAACTCAGCACTAATAAAACATATGATTCAACAAATTAAGGGCTTGATGATTATTTTATTAGTTGAATACAGTGTGTTCGTGCTGGGCTAGAACAAAAATGTCGGGATCTTCTCAGGAATGGATTGAGATAAACTATCTGTACTGTAGATGCACTTACTGCAGTGTAAGTCACACTCCCAATCCCCTAGCTCAGCTCAGGTTTTAAATTTTTCAATTCAATACAAATGTTGATACCTCTGTCTCTTCAGTGCCCCCTCCACCAGAGGAGTACAAGCCCAAGTCTCTAGCCTCTCGTCTGTCTGACAAGTTCCAGACCTCCCTCACCTCTGACCAGGAGAAGGATGATGACTTCTGTGGTGAATCCACAACACTTCCAGCCTGATAGGAAACGCATCCGCACCCCAACCATGGAGCAGAAGGTAGGTAGCCTTATAGAATTCAATAGAATTTCATGGATTTGTATGAGTAGCCATACTAACAATGCTTTCACAGACGGACCAATAAGTCTAACCATTCTGATTGGTCCCTGTTTCAAGTTGCGTAGCCTTGTTCCAGGGTATACAAAATCTGTTTATGTCTGTGCGGATTATCAGCTCTTTACTGCCTTGACTGTCTGAATAAGTATTTGTCATCTAAGGAACTGCATAAACAAGATATAACGATCTTATAATCTATGCAGGCCTTTGATGATGACACACCCTTAAAAAAATTAATAATAATTATGGGACAATGTACAGAATTCAGTCAAAAACATAAACCCTTACTCTCTGTTCCCCTCAGGGTCGTAAGAGAAGGTGCTTGGAGCAGGGAGTGGTGTTTATAGATGATGAGCCAGAAGGAGGGAGGCCAGTGTCTGGAGCACAGACATGGACCGTGGAGCTGAGTACCCAGGCACAGACTATAGACCTGCCCCCTGATACACACTGCTGTGTGAGTATATTTATCTAAACTAAAGATATGTTGCCACTTGCCTGTAAGTGCTGATCTAGGATCAGCTAAATTGATGGACCTTCCCCCTGAGGCGCACTACTGTGTGAGTACTTCTAGTCTAAACTAAGGATATGTTGCTTTTTAATGCTGATCTAGGATCAGCTCAACTGATGGTAGGGTGGGGAAATATATTGTGTACAATATACCGGTACGGATCCACATACCGGTAGGGATTTTTACAGTCTACAAAGATATTTTGGTACAGTGCTAAATTTAATGAAACGTTCTACAAATTGGACTACTTTCAAAGGCAGTTGTGTCGTAGTTCCGACATTTCTTGAATTTTGTTTTGTTTTGTATTTTGTATTTTTTTATTATTGTGTACTCTTTGACATTTTACTGCATTGTAACATAAGCTAGTAACAGAAGCATTTTGCTGCACCCACTACAACATCTGCTAAACGCGACCAATAAACTTTGATTTGATTTAGTTTGATTGAGTATAAACCATCAGAATGTAGAAAGCCCATTCAAATCACTTAGAATTGCTGCCATAAACTACTCAGAAAACATATTTAGAACTTTTATTATTCAGAAACATAAAATACAGTCAAATACCGTTGTACTGTCAAAAATTAGAAAAATATTGTGATATGATATTTTGGCAATATCGCCCAGCCCTAACCGATGGACCTGCCCCCTGAGGCACAGTGCTGTGAGTACAACTATTCTAAACTAAGGATATGTTGCTTTTTAATGCTGATCTAGGATCAGCTCAACTGACTACCACCTTAATGCCTACCATTAGAATCCATGAAGAGAAATATTTTTGTTGTACAGCGACCTAATTTTGAACATCTACCCAAGTACTACATTGTGTCCACTGGGTGGCAGCATAGCCCACTTAATCTGTGGCCCTGCTCCATCACATACCTTTGGCATTGTTCTCACATTTCTTGTGCCCCAAGTGAATGTGTTATGTAATTTAGGTTGTGTTTAGGCTTCATAAGGCAGGAAAAGGAGGGGGGAAAATGAATAGGTAGAGGGAAATTAAGAGGCGGTGGAAGGAGAAGAAAGTCCCCTCCCTCTGTTCGTGTTGGGTTTCCCCGTCTGATACCTGACCGGCTCCTCTCTGCTGTGAGCTGCTGACTGATGTCCTGAATGGGTCTCTTTGAAGGGATAGAGCTCCACTTTTAATTAAGACGGTTTGCCTTGCCTCGCCGCTGATCTGTGAAAGCCAGGGATAAATATTGAATGGGGTTCACTCGCAGGTTACTGAGCCCCGGGACCTAAAAGGGTAAACAGGTGCTTTCTGAGGAGGGAGGGCTCGGTGGCCATTCGTGGGTCCCCAGAGCCTCACACTTGTGCCAGTTGCAGACCAAATGGCACCCTATTCCCTACATACAGTTGAAGTCGGAAGTTTACATACACTTAGGTTGGAGTCATTAAACTTGTTTTTCAAACACTCCACAAATGTCTTGTTAACAAACTATAGTTTTGGCAAGTCGGTTAGGACATCTACTTTGTGCATGACACAAGTACATTTTCCAACAATTGTTTACAGACAGATTATTTCACTTATAATTCACTGTATCACAATTCCAGTGGGTCAGAAGTTTACATACACTAAGTTGACTGTGCCTTTAAACAGTTTGGAAAAGTCCAGAAAAGTATGTAATGGCTTTAGAAGCTTCTGATGGGCTAATTGACATAATTTGAGTCAATTGGAGGTGTACCTGTGGATGTATTTCAAGGCCTACCTTCAAACTCAGTGCCTCTGCTTGACATCATGGGAAAATTTTACGAAATCAGCCAAGATCCGTCATACCGCTCAGGAAGGAGATATGTTCGGTCTCCTAGAGATGAACGTACTTTGGTGCGAAAAGTGCAAATCAATCCCAGAACAACAGCAAAGGACCTTGTGAAGATGCTGGAGGAAACAGGTACAAAATAACACCATCCCAACCGTGAAGCACGGGGTGGCAGCATCATGCTGTGGGGGTGCTTTGCTGCAGGAGGGACTGGTGCACTTCACAAAATAGATGGCATCATGAGGAAGGACAATTATGTGGATATATTGAAGCAACATCTCAAGACATCAGTCAGGAAGTTAAAGCTTGGTCACAAATGATTCTTCCAAATGGACAATGACCCCAAGCATACTTCCAAAGTTGTGGCAAAATGGCTTAAGGACAACAAAGTCAAGGTATTGGAGTGGCCATCACAAAGCCCTGACCTCAATCCTATAGAAAGTTTGTGGGCAGAACTGAAAAAGCGTTTGCGAGCAAGGAGGCCTACAAACCTGACTCAGTTACACCAGCTCTGTCAGGAGGAATGGGTAAAAATTCACCCAACTTATTGTGGGAAGCTTGTGGAAGGCTACCCGAAACGTTTGACCCAAGTTAAACAATTTAAAGGCAATGCTGCCAAATACTAATTGAGTGTATGTAAACGTCTGACCCACTGGGAATGTGATGAAAGAAAGAAAAGCTGAAATAAATCATTCTCTACTGTTATTCTGACATTTCACATTCTTAAAATAAAGTGGTGATCCTAACTGACCTAAGAAAGGGAATTTTTTACTAGGATTAAATGTCAGGAATGGTGAAAAAAGTTGATTAAATGTATTTGGCTAAGGTGTATGTAAACTTCCGACTTCAACTGTAGTCCACTACTAGAGCCCTATGGGCCCTGCTCAAAAGTAAGGCACCCTATAGGGAATAGGGTGCCATTTGGGATACAGCCCAGAGCAGAGGGGTGATGGCTAGTTTATGTCATGTTTCCTATGGTATTTGATCAGGATGGCGCTGCAGTCATCTTTTTGCGACTCAGCCAGCCCACCCTGTGTGTGTGTTTTTATGTGCACCTCACCTCCCATTGGAATGCATTTCGAATCTTGAAGGCTGAGGACTGAGGAGCAAATTGGCGTCCAGCGAGCGGCGCCAGCGACACAGAGCCAGCCTGTCCCCGCCAACCCCCCACCACCATCTCCTGGCCCCCCGGAGTGTGAGACTCCTCTCTCTCAGGTGTCAGCTGTGCAATGCTGAAACTCAAGGCGCACAGGGCTGGAATCAGCTAGGTCTACGTAGAGGATACTGAGGGACTGAGAACCACACCACCACCATCTCTACATCCAGGGCACGGTTCTGACTGTCACTCTGCCCTGACATTAAGGATGAAGCTAGTCCTGTTTGGAACACACCAGGTGATATCTTTAAAGAGAGGTTTTCTTATGAACACTGTCGGGAGAAGCCACAAGCAAGTTAATAGGGTAACATTTAGGAGGCAGCTCCTGTGGGTTTTAATGGTATAAAGAGCCCTGAGCTGACATGATGAATAAACAGAGGGCCCTCTAGGGGCCCCTAGTAGGATCAGGTTACAGCGGGGCCACATCGTTGGAACAGATCAGTTATACTCCTGAGCTCTGCGGCTCCACTCCTCACCTGGGCAACACAGCCCGATCACCTTAACTGCTGCTGCTGCCACATTAAATAGGCCCCTCCACATATCCCTGCTACTGTGAAATCATGGCAAATACAGTTGTACACCTTAGCCAAATACATTTAATCTCAGTTTTTCACCATTCCTGACATTTAATCCTTGTAAAAATTCCCTTTCTTAGGTCAGTTAGGATCACCACTTTATTTTAAGAATGTGAAATGTCAGAATAATAGTAGAGAGAATGATTTATTTCAGCTTTTATTTCTTTCATCACATTCCCAGTGGGTCAGAAGTTTACATACACTCAATTAGTATTTGGTAGCATTGCCTTTAAATTGTTTAACTTGGGTCAAACGTTTAAAGTAGCCTTCCACAAGCTTCCCACAATAAGTTGGGTGAATTTTTACCCATTCCTCCTGACAGAGCTGGTGTAACTGAGTCAGGTTTGTAGGCTTCCTTGCTCGCACACGCTTTTTCAGTTCTGCCCACACATTTTCTATAGGATTGAGGTCAGGGCTTTGTGATGGCCACTCCAATACCTTGACTTTGTTGTCCTTAAGCCATTTTGCCACAACTTTGGAAGTATGCTTGGGGTCATTGTCAATTTGGAAGACCCATTTGCGACCAAGCTTTAACTTCCTGACTGATGTCTTGAGATGTTGCTTCAATATATCCACATAATTGTCCTTCCTCATGATGCCATCTATTTTGTGAAGTGCACCAGTCCCTCCTGCAGCAAAGCACCCCCACAGCATGATGCTGCCACCCCCGTGCTTCACGGTTGGGATGGTGTTCTTCGGCTTGCAAGCAACCCCCTTTTTCCTCCAAATATAACGATGGTCATTATGGCCAAACAGTTCTATTTTTGTTTCATCAGACCAGAGGACATTTCTCCAAAAACTACGATCTTTGTCCCCATGGGCAGTTGCAAACCGTAGTATGTTTTTTTTGGCGGCTTTGGAGCAGTGGCTTCTTACTTGCTGAGCGGCCTTTTAGGTTATGTCGATATAGGACTCGTTTACTGTGGAAATAGATACTTTTGTACCTGTTTCCTCCAGCATCTTCACAAGGTCCTTTGCTGTTGTTCTGGGATTGATTTGCACTTTTCGCACCAAAGTACGTTCATCTTTAGGAGACCGAACGCATCTCCTTCCTGAGCGGTATGACGGCTGCGTGGTCCCATGGTGTTTATACTTGCATACTATTGTTTGTTTAGATGAACGTGGTACCTTCAGGCGTTTGGAAATTTCTCCCAAGGATGAACCAGACTTGTGGAGGTCTACAATTTTTTGTGTATGTAAACTTCCGACTTCAACTGTAATTACTTATTCATCGACGGATGGGGGGGAGAGGTGGAGTCACTGCTGAATAGAGGCCCTTGTCAAGAGGCAGCATCAGGAAACCGCTGACAAGGGTATCCCTTTACGTGCCTGCCCCTGTCCCCGTCTGAGATGCAGACGACACGGTTTGGGGCTCTGATGGGCTCATAGCAGCGAGCAGACACCCCCCTGGAATGGAATGTAGATAACGAACAGGGGGCCTGATGATGTTGGCTGCCCTCTGCAACAGACACATACCGGCTCATTCATTCAACACTGGACAATTCCACTCACCACCGCTGCCTGTTGCTCCATGTGTGATGCTGAGAGCGAGGGCGTCTGTCTACCACCCAGAGTGAATACCTGTTCAATCAAGGGAAAAGTGACTGAGCTGAGTTAGGGCCCCCTAACACACATTGTAATATTTAATGGCAAACACTGTTTGAGAAGGAGCTGTAAGGAGGGTAACCCGAACCGCCTGGCCCTTCTAGTCTCCACTGAAGCACCACAGGCTCAGCTAGCTTGATCTGCTGGCATTGAGGTGTAATACACACCCTGAGCTTTCGTTTATATGGTGAGGCATATAAACCGGTTGGTGCCAGATGGAAGAGAAGAGATGAATAGTGAGGGATTTCTTATTATTTAGGGGATGAACGTCTTTCTTTTAAAAGCAGGACTTATGCAGTCACTAAGCTCAAGGTTTAGATTCAGAGTTACTTCAAAACAGTGTCAGAAGAGAACATTTTACTTCCTCTGACGGAAACAGCTAAAGAACACTATGTGGTTAGCTTAGAACTTGGTGGTGAACAATACTATTTGTGGTTAGCTTGTTTAGTCTGCATGGTTGGGTCTGGTGACTGGATGATGCAGTGAAAGGGGTGGAAAGTGTCCCACTTAAAAGAGCACCTGACTGGTATTGGTTTCAGCAGCGCTGTCGGCTACGCTTCACCTGTGTGTCAAGAGAAAGTGACGCCACACATTGTCTGTGGTTACTAACAGCCAATTAAAAAGCAGCTACACTTTTCACATCCCCAACAATGACAACCTATCAGCTTAGATAATGTAATTTAACCATGACTGACCGGCAGTATTGTGTGGATACACATTCTTGCTATGCTTTCCTATATGTTCACTACTAGAGCATATAACGTTCACCAGTTAAGAGATTCACCAATTGTCTGGTATTGGTGATTTACCTTTTTGTTTGGTGTTAATATTTTTATAGTGAGCAATGTAAAATTTAAAAATGTTTTTCACAATTCTCTGAAGAGAACAACACTCTTTATCTTGTTCTTTTATCTTCCTTCTCCCTCCATGTGTCCACTAGTCCCCCGTGGTGTCCTGCTCTCTCTAACCCTGAGCCTCATCCAAAGGTGTCCAGAAAGGAGCCGAGGGGAAGTCTTCAAAGGAGAAGGACAAGGACAAAGAGGGAAACAAGAAACAAGTCCCCAAGATCTTCTTCGGCACGCACACCCACAAACAGATCACTCCGATCGCCCACGAGATGAAGCGTACGCTCTACTCTTCAGCCCCATGACCATCCTGTCCGGTAGGGACCACACCTGTGTCCACCCAGAGATGGTGCCTCACTCCAACCGCAACAAACGCTGCAAGGAACTGCTGGAAGCGAAGAATGTGTGTAGAGTATAGACATACAGACCTGCACACATAGACCTAATACACCCATAGGGTTGCAAAGGGAGGGTATATTACTGGAAACTTTATACATTTACCAGTAAACTACCAGAAATGTGGTATCTTTCAAGGATTTTATGTAGTCTGTCACAAGACATTTAGTGGCCCTATTGGGTACTTCAGATTTTTACAGGTGTTTGTGATTATCTCTGGCCCTCTGTGTGGCCTTATCACATGTAAAATATATATTAAATAATTAAATAAGATTTTCAAATACAAAATATAATGACATTAATCTGTAAAACATTTTCCTAAATATAAACCATCAACTTATTGAATGCCATTGGTGTTTGAATTTGAGGGTTTCAGCATGAAAGATATTTAATATATATATATATTTTACACATATATATTTTACTAAGTCAGTATGTATTTGTTGTCAATGTTTTGGCGTCAAACTGGTGGCAGTTGTGAAAAAAGTTAATAGTTGGAAGAGTTGCAGAGTTCATTGAAAAATAATGCCATTGTTGATTAGATGCTTTTTTTTCATTAATTATGCTATTTCTCTTGAACCATATGGTCTATCTACTAGAAACTCATGGACAATATGGACACAGATATAAAAAATGAAAACTATATATGAATACATAAAAAAAAAAAAAGTGATTCAAAGTTACGATAGATTGTCATAGATTTTCTGTTAATTACCTAAATTAATTTAGGTAAACTACCGGTAGCTTTGCAGCCCTATACACACAAACCTGGGATTTAACTGACGACTGTCCAGTTGCTGTCCCGCTTCCCTAACCTCTAGCTCACCTACTGCCCTTCTTTGTAGTAACACAGTGTTTTCCTTAGTTTCACCAATAGAAGGGTCTTGTTGTGTAGGCCTCTTGCCCTGCTCCACCCCAGGGCTTAGACCATTTCAGCTCCTAGCTAGGCTACATTAGTGTTGCCCTCTTAACTCTAAATGGAGTTGGTTGACTATTACTGGGCCTGAATTGAATTATTTTGAACTGAGATTTACCCCAATCCAGCTGTGAAAACCAACACCTCTTCAGACATGGAAACACACACACCTCCGATCCTGAGTTTGAGTGGTGTTTCTAATCCCAGTGACAGACACTCTAAAGGGAGTGAATTCGAGCCGCCTCTGAGGTCTAGAAAGAATGGCTTCGTAACCCAACCCCACAGTTAAAGGACAGGCAGACAACCCCCGTCACCATCGCCCCGGGTGGCAATAACCACCCATAATATCCCCAATCGGTCAGACAGTCTCTCTAGCACAATGACGTGTCACAAGGCTTCAGACAGGTTTTGTGTCGGAAGGGAGACTTTTTATAGTCAGTGTTACTGTTACAGTCCTAACTCCTGTTCTCCTCGAGGTGAGGTGGCTAGTTTAATGAGCGCCTATTACTCGCGCGCACGCACACACACACACACACACACACACACACACACACACACACACACACACACACACACACACACACACACACACACACACACACACACACACACACACACACACACACACACAAAGGTCAGACTGATCGTATAATAAGCCCCTATTGCGCTGTCACCAGAGGTGTCTTATCTGTCCTGTCCGCCTCAGTCTACAGTCGCCACAGTGACAGTGTCACATCCTGATCTGTTAGAGAATGGGTGTCCCCGCGACAACCCCAGAGGATAGAATGGCCACAGCTCCATCGCACTCATCCTTCTTCTATCAGCCCTGTTCATCCCTCCGTCCCCTCCACTCTCCAGTCCCCTAGGCCCTGTCTAAAGCCAGTCTCTTGTTACAACTCTATACACCCCACCTTCTGGCTTTGACTGAGCTCAATTGGGTTAAGACTCCCCTGTTGTGCTTTCCCTTTTTGTGGAGTCATAAAGTCAAATCGCACCCCTAAGCTGCCATTGCCCCAATATAAGAATTACTTGAGTGGACGCTAATCCTTTCACCTTCGCCACACACACACACTGAACCGTTTGAAACAAAACCTTTTTAAGTGCTGAAGTTTATCCTTGATGTGTGGCAGAAAGTGAGGACCCACCCACCCCTTTGATAGCTGCCTTTCTTTCCATGCCTTTGGCAGTAACGGAGTATAGTCGTCACACGTGTGTGTGTGTGTGTGTGTGTGTGTGTGTCACTGGGGAGCCGGCTGGTTGTGACATGGTGGTAGCTGAGGCACCTCTGATGACCGGGTAATGGGCCTTAGTACATGAGACTGGAGACTGCCGCTTGGGAATTACCCCGAGCTATTGATAATGCCAGAAGAGTTGATGTTGATATCGGCCTATATTGAGCGTGTGTCTGTATATGTCATGTATATAAACCATGATGAAGGTCTATTGACCAAAGTGTTGGTTCTGAGAGATCCTCAAGGTCACCAGTGCGCTGAAGTTAATAATTTTTCATGTGTGTATTGTCAAGGATGAAAACAACCCCTCCTACTCTCTCTTACCTACCACATGCAGGGCGTGTCGTGCCGCTTCAAAAACGGTGTGCCCAAGATGCAGGACCAGAACACTCTGCAGTTGGTCCATGGTCTCCACCAGGCCTGGGACTTAGAGGACCTGGTTCGTCTGGGGGGCTGGCTGAAGGCCTGCTCCTACTACGCTGCCAGGGACCTCATGCAGGACGCCTGTATCGTCTTCTGTCCCCACAACTACCTGCTGGAGCATGAGGGGAGGGGAGGAGGGAGACTGGGATAAGGAGGAGGGAGACTGGGATAAGGAGGAGGGAGACTGGGATAAGGAGGAGGGAGACTGGGATAAGGAGGAGGGAGACTGGGATAAGGAGGAGGGAGACTGGGATAAGGAGGAGGGAGACTGGGATAAGGAGGAGGGAGAGATGGGTGTAGTATTCTATCCCTAAAACGACCTACTGGACCCCCTCAGTAGGGGGGATGGTGAGGAGGGTGGAACGAGGGATGGAGGGAATTGTTGTTGGAGTAAGAGAAGGAGTGAGTAATGAAGAGATGTGTCCTCCTTTACTTTTATCTGAACATATTCCTTGACTACCACCTGGTCAAACCCACTGCATGTCTACTGGGGTAGAGCGGGAGAGGAGTGAGGGGAGGCCATCTGTATGTCATATTTTCCTCACTACCCCTATGCTCTCCTTCTCCCCCTCCTCTCCTTCCCCCTCCCCCCCTCCTCTCTTTCCCCTCTCCTCCCTTGCAGATGCAGATCAACCTGAAGAGTCAGATTGTGGTTCTGGATGAGGCCCACAACATAGAGGACTGTGCCAGGGAGAGTGCCAGCTTCACCCTGAACAAACCCCAGCTGCTGTCCAACCACGAACCCCTACGAGCCTTCTGCTGCTCCCTGCTCAAGGAAATAGACCACAACCTCCTGGAGTTAGATAGTCCCTAACCCCTCTAGGTAGACCCTAAACCCTCTGGGCTTTCTGCTGCAGCTCCCTCACATAACCTCCTCCCCTACTGAAACTACAGTACTGTATCTCTAACTATCTATTTCTGGTGCATGTTTTTCTTTCTAGGTCAGCACTAGCACAACTGCTCTACTAATCAATCCATCTTAGTTAAACATGAATTTAAATGTAATCAATACTTGTAAAGAATGTCTTCACTGACTTGCTTTCCTCAGTATCAAACAATAGTTCTAAGATGGCCGCCTCTCTCGCTGTCTCTCTCTGTCTGTTCCTCCTGTGGTGTAGCTGGATGCAGGAGCACTGCAGTGTTCTGGCTGAGAGGGAGTATGAGATGTCCTGTAAAGTATGGAATGGCAAGGAGGTTCTGGGACTCTTCCACACCATGGGCATCACCGCTGACACCTTTGCCATGCTGCAGGTCAGATAATGTTGTTGATCACCTAGGTCTCCTCTCACCTGTCTCTCTCTCTCTCAATCCCTATCTTTTGCTCTCTTTCACTTTCACCCCCTTTTTATTTATTGTTGCAAGGTTTGTTTGATTAGAAGAGAGGCCTACAGCATCTCTCTTTTCTCTCCCCATCTCCCTCCCTCCCTCCCTTCCTCCCTCATCTCTCCCCCTGTATAGAAGCACCTGGCAGCGGTGTTGGAGAAGGAGGAGCGGGTTGGGCTGGTGAACGAGAGAGAGGACACAGTGGAGGTCCAACCATCAGCTCAGCCAGCTCCTCTGTCCTCTAGAGTCTCTTCATGGTGCTGGACTGTGAATCAGTCTTTAACGATCAGTCAATATTTGTATTGTCCTAATTCGGAAATGTGTATTGTAGTCAGGGTGAAAAACAAGACCAACACAACAACATACTACAAAATACATTATACAAACACTTTTGATTACTGACAAACACTTCTGTCCTGGTCATGTTCCCGTGGTCAGGTTTGCAGGGGACTACCGCGTGGCGCTGCAGCAGACCTACACTTGGACCACGGCTCCAGACATTCCAGATGCATAGGGCTTCTTCGCGAGGCCCAACCGCCGACGCCGACACCACAGTGCCAAGACCATGACCCTCGTACACACACTCAGCTTCTGGTGCCTCAACCCTGCCGTGGTGTGTAGCAGGGGAGGATGTACTGGAGAGTGAATGCTGTGTATACACCTTTTATATGGTGAAAAAAAGTACATGTTACGCAAATGTAGCGTATTATTATATTACGTTGAGTGCTGCCCGTCCTAAGGGGTGTGGTCGTGTGTGCGGGTGTGGCAGGCGTTCTCAGGCCAGCCACGTCATCAGCAAGTCACAGTTCAGTAGAAACCTCTACCTTAATTTCAGCCTCACCACTGATGTTATGGGTAATGATTTTATCATAGTATCCAGAAAACTGATGGTTAACGATGCTCAGAAAGGAACTGGACCTTGTAGCCAAGCAAAAAAAAACGAATAACATTTGACTGTTGTAGTCTTCTTTTTTTGCTAACTGGGTCTTGTCCTTCATGAATTTTGTCCTGACAGAAGGACGTCCTTACCCTCCTCAATGGGGACGGATGTTTTGAAAAATGTCCAATAGATTTTCGTTTTCTGTTGCAAAACGTTTAGCTTCAAAGTGTCATACTGAACACGACCATTGAGAACCACTGAGCTGATGTGTTCCTAATTTTCACTCACCACTCTTTATGTTGTTTAAATCGTCTTCAGTTCCTAGCGTTTACCACCAGGAGGGGCTAGAGACCACATATTGAGGTCGAGTTCTTTAATGTACTCATGATATCCTTGCTGTGTGTAAGCAAGTTTGGCGCAACTGGTATGAGAATGAGGTTGAGATAATAAGTAGAGTAGAGACATTTTGTTTGATTTCAAAAGAATGCCAAAGGAAGAGGTCCTAGGAGTCCATAGCGCTGTAATGTAGGCCTAATAGGTATCTCTTAAACAGCGGTAGGCTAACAATTACCTTGTATCCCCTTTCAGTTAACCAGACACTTCTAAGGGCCCATTGATAAATACTTTGTCCTCCTTTGTTTGTTATGCTTCCCTCCATGAATAATAGATTTCCATTCAGGCTCTGTGTCACATCACCAGTCCACTTAGGGACCAGCTGGCTCTCTCATTATTATTATTAGTAATTTAGCAGACGCTCTTATGCAGAGCGATTTACAGGAGCAATTAGGGTTAAGTGCCTTGCTCAAGAGCACATCGACAGATTTTTCATCTAGTCAGCTCGGGGATTAGAACCAGCAACCGTTCGGTTACTAGGCTCAACGCTCTTAACCACTAAGCTACCTGCCGCCTCTCATGTCACTGTTGGTGCGTGTGTGTTGGTGCTCGCATGTGCACATGTACACTACCGTTCAAAAGTTTAGGGTCACTTAGACATATCCTTGTTTTCAAAAGAAAATCATTTTATTTGTCCATTTAAAATAACATCAAATTGATCAGAAATACAGTGTAGACATTGTTAATGTGGAAATGGCTATTGTAGCTGGAAACGATTGATTTTTAATGGAATATCTATGTAGGCGTACAGAGGCCCATTATCAGCAACCATCAGTCCTGTGTTCCAATGGCACGTTGTGTTTGCTAATCCAGGTTTATCATTTTAAAAGGCTAATTGATCATTAAAAAACCCTTTTATGTTAGCACAGCTGAAAACTGTTGTGCTGATTAAAGAAGCAATAAAACTGGCCTTGAGACTAGTTGAGTATCTGGAGCATCAGCAATTGTGGGTTCGATTACAGGCTCAAAATGTCCAGAAACAAATAACTTTCTTCTGAAACTTGTCAGTCTATTCTTGTTCTGAGAAATGAAGGCTATTCTATGCGAGAAATTGCCAAGAAACTGAAGATCTCGTAAAACGCTGTGTACTACTCCCTTCACAGAACAGCGCAAACTGGCTCTAACCAGAATAGAAAGAGGAGTGGGAGGCCCAAGTGCACAACTGAGCAAGAGGACAAATACATTAGAGTGTCTAGTTTGAGAAACAGACGTCTCACAGGTCCTCAACTGGCAGCTTCATTAAATAGTACCCGCAAAACACCAGTCTCAACGTCAACAGAGAAGAGGCGACTCCGGGATGCTGACCTTCTAGGCAGAGTTGCAAAGAAAAAGCCAATATCTCAGACCAATAAAAATAAAATATTAAGATGGGCAAAAGAACACAGAGACTGGAAAGAGGAAGATTGGAAAAAAGTGTTATGGACAGATTAATTTAAGTTTGAGGTGTTCGGATCACAAAGAAGAACATTTGTGAGACGCAGACCAAATGAAAAGATGCTGGAGGAGTCCTTGATGCTATCTGTCAAGCATGGTGGAGGCAATGTGATGGTCTGGGGGTGCTTTGGTGGTGGTAAAGTGGGAGATTTGTACAGGGTAAAAGGGATCTTGAAGAAGGAAGGCTATCACTCCATTTTGCAACGCCATGCCATACCCTGTGGACGGCGCTTGATTGGAGCCAATTTCCTCCTACAACAGGACAATGACCCAAAGCACAGCTCCAAACTGTGCAATAACTATTTAGGGAAGAAGCGGTCAGCTGGTATTCTGTCTATAATGTAGTGGCCAGCACAGTCACCTGATCTCAACCCTATTGAGCTGTTGTGGGAGCAGCTTGACCGTATGGTACGTAAGAAGTGCCCATCAAGCCAATCCAATTTGTGGGAGGTGCTTCAGGAAGCATGGGGTGAAATCTCTTCAGATTACCTCAACAAATTGACAACTAGAATGCCAAAGGTCTGCAAGGCTGTAATTGCTGCAAATGGAGGATTCTTTGAAGTTTAAAGGACACAATTACTATTTCAATTAAAAATAATTATTTCTAACCTTGTCAATGACTACATTTCCTATGCATTTTGCTATATTTCCTATTCAAACTCATTTCATGTATGTTTTCATGTAAAACAAGGACATTTCTAAGTGACCCCAAACTTTTGAACGGTAGTGTACGTGTGTTTTTATTTTGTGTTTTATTTGTTAAAATTTTTTTAGGGGGTAGATCAGCTTTAATATTGCAGATAGATTGTAACTTCCATCAATGTAATTGTCTGCATCACATCCAATCCCCATATGTTTTCTTTTCTTCTCGCATATATATATATATATATATATATATATATATATATATATATATATATATATATATATATATCCAGAAAAACGCATGTCAAAAATGTTATTAATTGATTTGCATTTTAATGAGGGAAATAAGTATTTGACCCCCTCTCAATCAGAAAGATTTCTGGCTCCCAGGTGTCTTTTATACATGTAACGAGCTGAGATTAGGAGCACACTCATAAAGGGAGTGCTCCTAATCTCACCTTGTTACCTGTATAAAAGACACCTGTCCACAGAAACAATCAATCAATCAGATTCCAAACTCCACCATGGCCAAGACCAAAGAGGTCTCCAAGGATGTCAGGGACAAGATTGTAGACCTACACAAGGCTTGAATGGGCTACAAGACCACCGCCAAGCAACTTGGTAAGAAGGTGACAACAGTTGATGCGATTATTCGCAAATGGAAGAAACACAAAATAACTGTCAATCTCCCTCGGCCTGGGACTCCATGCAAGATCTCACCTCGTGGAGTTGCAATGATCATGAGAATGGTGAGGAATCAGCCCAGAACTAAACGGGAGGATCTTGTCAATGATCTCAAGGCAGCTAGGACCATAGTCACCAAGAAAACAATTGATAATACACTACGCCGTGAAGGACTGAAATCCTGCAGCGCCCGCAAGGTCCCCCTGCTCAAGAAAGCAAGTATATACAGGCCCGTCTGAAGTTTGCCAATGAACATCTGAATGATTCAGAGGAGAACTGGGTGAAAGTGTTGTGGTCAGATGAGACCAAAATGGAGCTCTTTGCCATCAACTCAACTCGCTGTGTTTGGAGGAGGAGGAATGCTGCCTATGACCCCAAGAACACCATCCCCACCGTCAAACATGGAGGTGGAAACATTATGCTTTGGGGGTGTTTTTCTGCTAAGGGGACAGGACAACTTCACCGCATCAAAGGGACGATGGACAGGGCTATGTACCGTCAAATCTTGGGTGAGAACCTCCTTCCCTCAGCCAGGGCATTGAAAATGGGTCGTGGATGGGTATTCCAGCATGACCCAAAACACACAGCCAAGGCAACAAAGTAGTGGCTCAAGAAGAAGCACATTAAGGTCCTTGAGTGGCCTAGCCAGTCTCCAGACCTTAATCCCATAGAACATCTGTGGAGGGAGCTGAAGGTTCGAGTTGCCAAACGTCAGCCTCGAAACCTTAATGACTTGGAGAAGATCTGCAAAGAGGAGTGGGACAAAATCCCTCCTGAGATGTGTGCAAACCTGGTGGCCAACTACAACAAACGTCTGACCTCTGTGATTGCCAACAAGGGTTTTGCCACCAAGTACTAAATCATGTTTTGCAGAGGGGTCAAATACTTATTTCCCTCATTAAAATGCAAATCAATTTATAACATTTTTGACATGCATTTTTCTGGATTTTTTTGTTGTTATTCTGTCTCTCACTGTTCAAATAAACCTACCATTAAAAATATAGACTGCTCATGTCTTTGTCAGTGGGCAAACGTACAAAATCAGCAGGGGATCAAATATTTTTTTCCCTCACTGTATATATATACATACATATATACACATACATATACATTTCCTTTTTAAAAATATATTTCCCTTTATTACTTTCCAACCCCACCACCCCTTCCCTAATTGGAGTAAACTAGTGATCAACAATGCTTAGGCCTCTACTTCCAGCTTATACATACTATATACATTTTATGGACACAGTCAATTTTACAATAATTCTATTTGTACGTGAGTGTTACATGTGAAGGTTTGTTTGCTTTTTTGCGTAGCGCTGCATACCTTTTTTGTGTGTCCGCTAGTGTGCATGTTTAGTGTCTTACAATGCACACATTATTTATGCTTATATACAATAGGCCTATGGTTTGTATTTGACCCTTTAATGTTGTCAAAGCTCAAGGTTTTCCCTCTAGTTGACTATCCAGTTGAGGCTATATCAATGCTATCAGAATATGAACGTTCAAAGTCTCCTATTAGGATCCAGTTTGGTCTCTCCCCCCCCCCCCAGTCATGACGCCAGGCAGGCAGAGACAGCCATGT